GTGTGTGTGTGTGTGAGAGAGAGACAAAGATCCCAGTACAGAAGCCGGTCTTGGAGGCGATTGGGTAGTGCAGAGTTTGAAGCACCAGTGAATGAGGAGAGTGCCTTGGTCCACACCTGGACATTTGCATAGTTTATTTAATGTTGAGGTAGTTTTCATCAATTACCTGAAACATTCAAAGACAGACGAGGACATCATGAGTGATTCTAAGGCTTCCAGAAATAACACAGCAAAAACACAGACAGCTGATTGAGCATTGAGCCTTTACTTTTAATCTAACACCTACTTCTCTTACCTTGTTCAGTCAGACAAACAGCTTGCAGAAGCACATGGAAAACAGGCATCCTGTCTCTCTCACTCCCTACCAGCCTCTCTCGCTCACCCTCTATCCACCCTCAGATTGTTCTCCGCCCTTCCCCTCTCCTCGCCCTTCCCCTCAGCCCCAAACCCTATCTAGGTCGGGAGCTGGGGAGCTGGGAGGTGGTGTAGGTACCATGCATGCTCTGAGTCCTCCACATGCTCCCAGCACCACCAGAACTGCTGGTCGGTGGCGGAGGGGGCAGACGGGGGGAGTAGTGCACTGCAAATGGACGAGAGGAGGAGGCAGAGGAGGCTGAGAGAGAGGAAGAGGAAAGGGATGCAGCAGCAGAGACAGAAGCAGCAGAGGTAGAGGATGAGATGGAGAGGGATGATTGTGCTCTCTGATGGTGGAGAGAGGAGAGGGACAGACGCGAGGAGTGGAGGGAGTCTGATCGAGAAGATGCTGGGGAGTCAGAGTGCGTGGATGTCGACAAGGAGGGGACGCTATGCAGGGGTGGAGGAGGGGGCAGGGAGAGCGTGGGAGGAGAGGGGCTATGCAGGACTGACTGCGTGCGGCTGTGCTGGGCCTGGGATAACGAGAGGGGCATAGGCGAGGACACGGGCGCCAGGCGCGTGGAGGCTGGCTGGGGAGTGGTGTGTTGCTGGGTTTGGGAGGAGGTAGAGGAAGAAGAGGAGGGGAGACTGAGCAGAGAGTTGAGGCCTCCTGAGGTGGGGAGCGTTGCCCCAAACTGATGGGAGGACACTGAGGGAACCACGTGGTGAAATATACCTGCAAATCATACAGTAGAAATGGAGGGAGGAGGAGGAGGGCGAGAGAGTGGAGACAAGAGAGAGCCGTGGCAAAAAGAGCAGGGGGTGGGGGTGGGGGGGGACAGAGAGAGAAGCAAGGGCTGAGCCAGGTTGTGCAAAGCGCCAAGCAAGTCTGAGACAAGCACATAGAGAGCAAACAGAGTCAGTCCACTGGAAATGTAACGGAGCCAATTCAGCGCAGCCAGCGTAACGCTGCAGGAAGTGAAATGACTCTGATGCACTAACACACCCGGGGAAAACGCATGAACAACAACATGACCTCCATGAAATCAAACAGTCACTCACGCTTTGTTATTAATGATTTCAATGAAAGTTTTGTGAAAAATGGCACATTTTCCAAGGGTGTCTCCAACTGCATCACCTAAGCGGCCAGTCCACGTCAAAGCAGGGCAGCACAGAGAGTCAGTCGAGAACACTTACCTGGCTCTTTCTCTTGCACGATTCGATATCAAGATGACCCCAAATACACAACCAAGCCCTCCCTCCAACTATTCGCTAATCCCTAGATAACATTGGCTATTAATCAGTGGTGCTCACCTCCAGCTGCTCCCCCTGCCAACCCAGCACTGGAGAAGCTTCCTAGGGCAGAGTGTCCGTTGACAAGCCGAGGGGTCCCAGTCACCGTGGATCCGCCAGTCTGGGCCCCAAACAAAGATTGCAAGACTGAGGTTCCTCCAAGTGGGAACTGGGCCCCCAGGTATTGCCCCACAGATGACCCAGTGCTCGAGGAAACAGCTACAGGACTGCCTCCCACTTTCCCACTAAGAATGCCTCCTCCACTGCTGGCGGCAGCAGAAATGAAGAGGTTCTGACTGGCCAGATTGCCGCTGTTCTTCAGCTCCCAGTCACGGGAGGCCTTCTGCTTCTGGAGGGTCTGGCGCTGGTCTGAACTACTTCCTCCTTGAGCACCACCAGCACTGCTGCTTCCACCCCTGGTACTTGCCTCCTGACTGAGGAAAGGGTTTGGATTGCTGTAGCTGGACTCTCCATCACTCCCTTTCCTCACCTGCTGCTGTTTGTGGTCAGAATCTGAGTCTGTGCCCCGACCCGAACCCCCGATGCCAAACGGAGAGCCCCCCTGTCTCAGGTCAGAGTTGGGTTGTTTGGGATCAGAAATGGGTGAAAAGGTGGATTTCCATTTGCTGGTAGAGGACAAAGATGACGATGAGGAGGCTTCACTGCCGGTGCTGTTACCACTGCTGCTTCCTGATTTTCTCCCTAGTGGAGGAGAAAGGAAAAAAAACAAACAAACACACAGCTCTCATCATCTAGTAGAAAGGCAGAGAATGATGATGATTATTTCTTAATGTATTCATTTTCTACCTCGTTCACCATCTCCGAGTCTACCAGATCCATCTCTGCTCTCCAACGATATAGTGGCTATTTTTCTTTCAATTCTGCAAAAACAAACAAAAATCTAAATCAAAATAAGCAGTAACAATATTATAAATATATGAAATTTGCAACAGAGCTGACTGAGTCATATTTATAACGGTACAACTTGTGATTAAATAAAAGCACAAACAGGAAATGCTGAATCACACGGTTATTCAGCAAGGACATTTAAATGACTTCCGATCGATGAAGACGCCATCATAAGCTTCATATTACCGAGAACTGGAGCTGTCAACAGGATAACCCGAGTCCTCATCGTCGGAGCTGGGTGCTGTGGAATATCGACCCGTGCCGTTCATCTCCAGGGGGCGCTCTCTCTTCAAGATGGGAGGTTGGTCTAGGTCAGGCCCAACGGGGCTGCGGCTTGATTGCTCTGGAGAGGAGATGGCAGAGATCTCCAGAGGTTGGTTGATGTTGTTCACCTGTTGGCAAAAATAATCACAGTTTACAGTGACACTGGCGACATCTGTGAAAAACAAAACAGACGGATGGTTACGCTGGAGCAGCAGGTTGTCTGCACGATGGCTAAAGAGGATGTGGCATTGTTATTACGCTATTATTACATTTGTTGTACAGTTTCAAGGTCATGCCGCAAAGTGTGCCTCTATTGAACTTTTAAGACTGATGAATTAGCAGGAGCCTTTAAAACTGCTTATAATATTGAGTATATACTTAATATAGTACAATACTCATAATGTAACTTCAAAGAATCTCATATATGCTCTTTCGTCTCCAGTGCTCACCATGGAGTTGATATTGAGTGGCGATCCTGAGGAGTGGTTGCTGGAGCTGAGCCCAGGGAATGATCTTCTCTTTGGGGATCCACTGGCCATAACAGGCCCTGGGTTGCCACGTTTCCGTCTCCCCCGCTTGCGTCCCTCTTGAGAGCAGAGGCTGTGAGAGGAGTGCGATGACGACGTATGTGTGGGTGTGTGAGCGTGCTGCGTGCTGGGCGATTGGTGGTGGTGGTTTCCATGGTTACTGTGGTATCCCTGCTTGGCCGGGTTGCCGGTGTGGTGGTGGAGGCGAGATCCTCCGGCTGCGCTGCCCCCGCTGCCTGACGAAGAGGAAGATGAGGATGAAGAAGAAGAGGAGGAGAAAAAGATCCTCCTTCGCAGTTCACTCTCCTGGGCTTCTGCGTCCGATTCACCTCCTTGGCCCTCCGGTCCATCTTCTGGAACAATCCTCGGGGGTCCGTCGGCATACTGGAGCACCCCGCCAGTGCTGAGAGGGGGGCTCTGGATCGGACCGCCTCGGCCCATTGTTAAAGTGTTGCTGTGTGGAGGAGGTGAAGAAGTGCCATTGTGGTCCTCGGGGTGCAGACCTCCATTCATCATGCTGGAGATGGATGAATATCCTAACAAAGATCAAACAGTTCATGAAGCTTCACAGGAAGATGAGACTAATATAAAACAGCCTCAATTCACATATTTAACCTTAAGTAAGCAGCAGTAAGTTTTTTCCCAGAGGAATTTTTAGCAACACCCCAAGGAATATACTCACCCATTTTTAAAGCTGTAATAAAATAAAACCAGCTTTTTTTCTTTGCAAGGAGTTTATTTTGGTAATTATGCTTTATTTGTGAAATGGACAAAAATAATTGGAAAATGCATATTATTCCATGAAATCAGCAAAAACAGAATCATCCCCTTTACTGTATGTGGTGACCATGCTTACGCTGCATAGTCAGAGGCTTACTTACTTAATCCAGGCAAAACCCTGACTATAGTAGAAACTCTGAAAGTCACAAGTGAAAAATAGGTGAAGAGTCCATCCTTACCATTGGTCTGACCGGTCTGTGACACAGGACTCGGAGTACTTCTCTGAAATCATGAATGCAGAGAATTTATCATTATGAAATCTGAAGGTATTATAGATTTATTTTGAACTTTAGACAATTACATTAAATAATTGACTAGATAAAAACCTAACCTACACATCTTAATCTTTAAACATAATATTTTTATCGTGCAGCGTGGATTCACGAGAGGTGCATCAGTGATGTACTATAGGATAAGTCAGCACACTCACCAGTCTCTCAGCACGACTGGGTAGCACCACACTGGCCAGTGGGATGCTAACTGGTAATTTACTTGGGTGAACAGTGCTCAGTGGGATACTAATAGGAAGGCTTGTAATGCTGTTGTCTCCCTGAACAGATGGACTCCTCTCTTTAATGCCCTGTGTCACAGCACAAATGGGAAAATTACAGCAGTGAAAGACTCAAGGTGTGCTTGCAAATAAATCACAGTGAAAATGACACAGGGAAAGATGAAAATTCACCCTCTCTGAGCTTTTGAGGTTATTCTGAGCATCACATCCGTTGGGAGAGGGGCAGTTCTGTTTGGCTCCAAGTGGAGAATTAACACCACCCAGATCCCTAAAAAGAAAAATGATGCTTTAGGATTCTATCTGCAGACAGCAGAAATAAAAATGTTCATACATGTTTGTAGTAGGAACAAACCTATGTGTGGTCAGCCCTGGACCTCTTAAGTGAGCAGAGGCAGTAGGATCCTGGTTAAGGTGCCTACGCAAGGCAATCTTGGCAGGGGAGAAGCGTGTGTAGTCAGGAAGAGCATGAGAGAAGCTTTGCTGCCTCTGTCGGGCATCAGGGGTGGCAGCCACTAATTCATGGTCCGGGGATATGGGCAGGTACCGAGAAAGAAGCTCACCCTTGGAGTTAACCCGGTCAAAACAAGGTGAGCTGGTGCCGTTGATAGTAAACTCTGGGCTAACACCGTTGAGAACTGGGGCTGTAGACAGGCTGAGCTTAGAAGAGTCCACGTCTGTGGAAGCGCGAGATTCCAGGTTTTTTCTATACGGGGAACTTTCGCCAGGGCTGTAGGATTTCAGCTGAAGTAGCTCCTGCTGCCTTTGACTTTTCTCCAGCTCCACAATGCTTATCTACAAACAGACACCAGGGGGAACTATTACACAGGTAAACAGGCTATACCGATGTTAAAATATTGGAAAATGTTTGTCACAATAGCTCATACACTCTTCCTGAAAACCACAGAGCAGTGAGGTGGATTAAAGGGTGGCAAGATGATACAGGTAGAGGGGCACGCATCAGAAAAGAGAGACCAAAACACCTGGATATAGATCCAACAATCTGAAGATGTCAGCTGTGTACCTGCAACTCCAAGCAATGTCTCTGCTTCTCGGAGATCTGTTTGCGCAGGGCCTGCTTCTCTTTCAACAAACTCTCCAGACACAAAGAGCCCCAGTCCAGCTTCAACTCCTCACATCGAGACTTCAGCTGAAAAATAACAAGTTACTGTTACTCACTCTCTCTCTCCCATAATGCCACCAGCCTGTTCGTCCAGCATTGCGCAAAAGTTAAACAGTAGGTACGATGACAGGTGAGAACCGCTGGAGACAATGCTGTAATTAAGGGCTGGAGGATCTGAAGCCTCACCAGCAGCAAGCTGTGGTCTCTCAGCAAAGCCATATCTCTCTCAAGCTGCTTGGTTTGCTCCTTCAGCTGAAGGTTATGGGCTGATATCTCCTTCTGGGCCTGAAGGAGGTCCTCCACAGTCAGGGCTTTTACTCCCAGCTGTTCAGCACACACAAAAAAAACACATATTTTTATCAGCTGCTTTACTAGCGTGAATTAAAAGAACTGTGTCTAAGTGAGTTTACTGGCTGAAGAGCTTTCCCTGCTGCAGTAATGTCAAAGTGCATTTTACATTCTAAGTGCTCATATACAGTCACACCTGATGCAGGTGTGCATCCAGCCAGTTTCTTTTTTTAAACTCAATTTTTACTATAATTTACAACATTGCAACTTGTACTTGTCAATGTTCACAAGTAGGACAGTTACAGAAACCGCAATGCAGAAATACAGATTAAAATAAGAACTGCAATTAGGAAGCACAAAACAAAACTGGGAAGCAAACAAACAAACAAACAAAACCAAAAACTTTATGTAATATTAAATAACATGTGACAATCTTAGCCATAAATGAACAAAATGAAACAGACCTATGCTAAATTATTGAAACAGTAAAGCATGTATGGGTCGCCAACGCTCAGTAAACAATTCTTTCTGAATCCGCAGAGTATATGTTATTTCCTCCATTTGGTAAATTTCTCTTACTTTATCAATCCACATATTATATGAAGGTGGGTCAAGATTCAGCCATTTAATAGTAATACACTTTAGTGCTGCTGTAAGCAAGATTCTTAAGAGATACTTTTTATTGTTTCCCGCAAAACCATTTGGTAATACTCCTAAAATGGCTAACTGTTGGTCTTTTGTTAATGGTTGTTGGAAAACTGTATTGAGAACTTTAAATATGTCATTCCAAAATGAGCAGATTTTTGGGCATGACCAGAATATATGTAAGTGGGTTCCTAAACAAGTACCACAATTTCGCCAGCAGGTATCAGGATTTGTAGGCTTCATTTTGGCAATTATCTCTGGGGTTCTAAAATATCTCATGACCACCTTCCCAGGTGTCCTCTGTGGTTTGAGTGCCAGTCTCAGCTTCCCACCTTGCCTTAATATCCAAAGTTGCACTTGTATTGAAACTCATAAATGCGTTATAAAAATTGCTGATTAATTTTGGGGAGGAATTACTTTGAAATATTTTTAGAAATATTTCCTCAATGGATGAGGGTTCCAAAACTTGCCTCCATTCTTTATGTTTTGTCAAAAAACTTCTTAGCTGCAGAAATCTATAAAAGTCAGAAGAAGGAAGCTGAAACTGACCTCTCAACTGTTCAAATGAGCTCAAGTGCCCATTCCTCACAACATGACAAAGTTTATGAAGCTCGTTATTTGACCATGCTCTGAAGCCAGAGTCTTCCACAATAGGAGAAAAACCCTGCAGGGAGGAAAAGCTTGATAAAATTGAAATTTATTTTGGAAGACCAAATGATTGTTTGATTCTACGCCAAATCTTTAGTGTGACACTTGTCCATTCCCCCATATGCAAATTTTTAATTGACATGTTAGAAAAAAGCAGGGATCCCAATGATCTTTCGCACATTGTCTTCTCAATGTTTAACCACTGAGTTTCAGACAAATCCCGCACCCACACAGTCAGGGGTCTCATCTGAGCTGCCCAGAAATAATATTTCCGATTTGGAACAGCCAATCCCCCCGGCAGTTTTGACAGTTTTAATGTTTGGAATTTGATCCTTGGGCGTTTGCCTTGCCATATAAATTTGGTTTATCTAAATTATCAAATGTAGAGTTGGGAATGTTAATAGGCAGCATTTGAAAAAGGTATAGAAGTCTTGGCAATACATTCATACGTATGCTCTCGATCCGACCCAAGAAAGACAGAGGCAGGACTGTCCATCTCTCTAAATCTTTTTTTATTTTTGCAACTATAACTTCATAATTTACTTTAAACAAGTCTGATAATGAGTGAGGAATTTGAATTCCTAAATACTTGATACCTTCGTTTGGCCATTTAAAGCCACATTGCTCCTTGAATGTTTGTGAAATGCTTCCTCCTATATCCATTGCCAATGTTTTGTCAATATTAACTTTGTAACCAGAGAGGTAACCGTATGTACTAATAATTTCTTTTAAATGAGGTACACTGACTGCAGGATTTGAAATGTATAAAAGTACATCGTCTGCATAGATGGACAATTTATGCTGTTCTCCATTAATTGAAAGGCCCTGAATTTAATGTTCATCTCTAATCAATTGCGCCAAAGGCTCAATACTTATATCAAACAGCAGAGGTGACAGTGGGCATCCTTGTCTACACCCATGTTCCAGTGGAAATCTGGTTGATATTGTTCCATTTACCCGTACAGCCGCCATTGGGTTGGAATAAAGAATCTGTATCCACTTAATTAAGTTGGCCCAAATTTGAATCTTTCAAGTGTATGGCCTGCAATGAACCCCGTTTGATCTGGATTTCTAACATGTGTAATAATTTTACTAACTCTTTTGGCTAAAATCGTGGTGACAATGTGCAAATCAGTATTAAGTAATGAGATTGGCATGTATGATTGACAATTTGTGGGGTCCTTGCCCTCTTTATGGATTACGACAATTACTACAATTGTAGTCCCATCTCCAGAGTGCAGTGGTAAGCTTTCAGTAATAAGGGTGCAACTTTGTCCTTAAGTTTGTTTTATAAAATTCGTTAATAAAACCATCAGGGCCAGGACTTTTTTTAGTTTTAAGCTCCCCAGCGACTGGGTCTAGATTTAATTCGAATTAAGAAGTAGCTCTCAGAAGATGTACTCCCTTGATAAGTATCGACTGGATACTGGGTAGCCGGTAATGTTAGAGAATTAATAGAATAAATAGAATAGCTCGTCCACAGAAGGACTGGTAGCTCCCCTTACGATAAGGGTTCAGATCGCGCGAACAGGTGTGAAATGTGTGTGTTTAGTTAGTTTGTTTGTTTGCTTGTTTTAATCAATTTTAAATCATGCTTTTTATTTGTTTTTGTTTCTAATGTCTCTGTAAAGCACTTTGAATCACCTTGTTGTTGAATTGTGCTATACAAATAAATTTGCCTTGCCTTGCCTTGAAATCACCTGTAAAATTTCTTGTTCTCGAATTGGTTCATCTAACTCCTTTGCTACAGATTCTGGCAGTGTTTTTAAATTGATCTTTTCTAAGAAATCAGATAGTGTATTGTCATCTTTACATGTATCTGAATTTTTATATAATGACTCGAAAAAATTGGCAAAGCAACTTGCAATTTGATTTGGTTTAGTAATTAGGGTTTGATCTGACTTCAACTTTTGGACCATATTACAAGTTTGCTGTTTCCTGAGTCTTATTGCCAGCAATCTACTAGCCCTACTACCCTGTTCATAGTACTTTTGTTTAATGAATCTTAAATTGCCCTCAATTTTCTCGTTTAATAAACTATCAAGCTCACTACGTAACATTTGAAGATCGGAAAGCAAATTGGCTGTCTGTGCTTTTTTGTGTTGTTGCTCTAGGTGTTTTATTATGGCCTCCAATTCACACCGCCTAGCCTCTTTTGTTTTTTTCCTGGCACTTGCAAATGATATTATGTAACCTCTAATGTATGCCTTGGCGCAATCCCAGAGAGTTAAAGGCGATATCTCTGGAGTTGTATTCAACTCCAAGTAAGTATTTAGTTCACAAAACTGGCTATCATTTAGGAGTGAGGCATTTAATCGCCAAAGTTTTAGTTTTGGTGTCAATCCTAAGTCCCATGAGAATGATAACGGTGCATGGTCAGATAGTGTAATTGGTAAGATTTCAATATTGTCAATTCTATGCTCTTCTGTTTTAGAGGTAAAATGTCTATGCAAGTAAAAAGTATAATCTCTGACTCTAGGAAACCTATTTCTCCAGACATCAATTAGTCCCAGTTCAGTTGTTAAATGTTTTAGAGCTTTGCTCATTTGCGACGCATGGCTTTTAAAACTTGGTTGTTTATCCATATAAGGTGACAAGACAAAATTAAAATACCCTCCAAGCAATAAAACACCAGAATACTTTTGAAGTACTAGATTAGAAATTGTATGTATGAAATTTGGCTCATCCTCATTAGGGGCATAGATATTGATGAGGGAAACCAGTACTCCATCAATAGAGCCGTTGACCATAATGTACCTCCCATGTGGGTCTCTATATGTAGATAGTGGGGTGAAGTTTATCTGTCTGTGTACTAGGATAGCCACACCTCTTTTCCTGACAGATTTGTGAGATGAAGGAACGTCATCTCACAAATCTGTAGGAACTCTGTTTAAAAGTTTAAGATTGTCTTTGAGAGCAGATTGGTAACTTAAGTGCCTATTTTTGATGCAAATTAAGCTGGAATGTGCAGAGGCTCTGAAGTAAGCGTGTTCACTCCATCGCGCTCGCTAGCGCCCCCCCTGTTTCTTTTGACCATGTTTATCCTCAGGTGGGACAGAGACGGCATGAGTTTTAAGCTTGTCTACAATTCCCATCCGTTTGACAATCTGCAGTTTTTGAATATACATGCTATAAAAGGTTGAATGAAGCATTTTCTGTAGATTTCTACTAACAAGTGTTACTGCATCAGGTGGGAGCAACATAGCATCACTTCTTACCTCATCCAGTTTAGTCTGAAAGAGACCTTTGATCTTCTCCTTGTGAGACTGACAGACCAAATGGAGCTGCTCCGCCTGCCCTGATAGGTCCCTGTGTTTTTGCTAGAGTGAGTGGAAAGCAGATATAATAATATAAATGTATATACAGAATTTAGCGAGGTGAAGATGACCTCACTATGCAGTCTGTTGAGACAATAATTACCTTCTCTTGGTCTAAAAGTTGTTGCAGGTTGGAGCGGTACTGAGGAGTCTTCATGTAGGCCATAAACTGGAGGTACTGAATTTTGATATTGTCTGTAAAAGAAGATCAAAGTTGGAGACAGAAAGAGACGGACAGTTTAACAAATATGTTTGCTGTTGATTGGAGAACTGCAGAACTGTTGTTTTGTTTGCCTCTTCACGTTTTGGCCTCATTCTATAACGTGTGCCTAGAAATATTCTGACCCTGTGCACAAACAAAAGTGCACATGCAAAAATGACTGCTGGAAATAATGAAACATGCACACCAGCTAATTTTCTTCTTGTCACAGTTTAAAATGTGGATGAGGCTCAACATGTTTGTTCGTTTGTTTATTTCTGTAAACACGGCTCATATCAGTCTCTGGTGTTAGCTGGTCACGTAAAAGAACAACAAAGATGCAATAAATGCTGACATGCAACTGAAGTTGAGGATGTGGAGAAAGCCCACCAACGCTTTTATTTTTTATTTTTAGTGTTCTGTGGTGAAATGGCTGCCACTTATTTCTGATTACTGTTCTTTTGTCAGAGACCAAAGACAAAAACAATGATGGCATCAGAGTGAAACAGGCCAGGTACCAGACTTAGAGAAAAGCTTATTTTCATTTGCACATTTACAACACAAGTATAATAATATCAAAGACCATTCATGCAAATCCTAAAAACTCAATTTTTCAAGATATTAAATAAAAAAGGAAAACTGTGCAAAAGCAGAGCTTCTTTAGGAGCCCTCCACTCATCCTTAAAGCTAAGTTCTTATAAAGTTCTTACGAAACCTTTCCCAGTTGGACGTTCAGTATCGTGAACTATTTTGACAAGATTAACATTTCAGTACAAAATCTGGTTCTCAAAAATAAATATTCTGTACTTCCAATACACCTCTGTATGTAGGTGTGTGCGGAGGCGGAGTCACAGCTATGAGTGGATGGCTCACGATGTGAATGTATTCACTGAAAAAGATCTCATCCAAAACTTCAGCACAACGAGAATCATCCTAACCAGCAGGCAACACACAAAAGTCAGATCAAGTTCTCTTTCATTAAGTCTTTAGTTCACAACCACAAACAGAAGTGGCGTTAAAAAGCTTTAGGCTTTGTTAAATTTCCTTATAGATCAATCACGCCACACTTCCCAGAACGTCTGTCCATACTGATATATAAAAGCTGTTGCTTAAATCAGTAACCTGAATTTCATATAACCATGTGTATATCTGGTATGGTGCATGTGGTTTTTCAGCATCACAGTTAAAAAAAAAAAAACAAATCAATCGGTGTCTTCATTAACTTACCTAGCAGTTTTTCCAAACCAGGGGGAGTTGGGCTCAGCAGAAGTTGACTAGGGGTATAGTGCTGGACCTTGGGAGGTAGCTGGTAGAAGGGACTCTGAGGTGGTCGGTATGCATCTGCACGCATAGTAATATTTTCATTAGTAACATCAATAAAAGTCCTGTTTAGGAAATAATACAGACAGCATATTTTGTGTGTGTGTGTGTGTGTGTGTGTGTGTGTGTGTGTGTGTGTGTGTGTGTGTGTGTGTGTGTGTGTGTGTGTGTGT